CAAAACTTTTCATACGATTTCCGCGAACTCTGTTCGACACGGAAGACGCCTTCCAAGAAAGGAAACACGGATTGGCGGCTATTATACAGTCGAGGGTTAAGGGAAGGCAACAGCGAAAGCGTTTCTTAGAGATGAAAAGTGCAGTCACTTTGTTGGCCAGCCATTGGCGTAAAGTTCTTGCCATTAAATTGTTAGCCAAACGCCGAATGGCCGCTCATATGGTCCGTACGTTCATTAAGGGATTCATTACTCGCAATGAACCTGAAAATGATTGCAATCGAGCCGTAAGTGTCCTCTTAATTGTTATCATTTTAAACAATTTTATGGAATTTTAATTCATTTCTATCATTAGTTTGTGAGGAGTGTAAGAGCAGAATGGCTGAAACGATTGTCCAAACAATTGCCAAAATCTGTGTTAATCAAAGAGTGGCCGCAATCACCAAAATGTTGTCGTGAAGTGAGAATAATTTATTTTAAAGTTATTTTCTTATTGTTTTACTAATTAATTGCTAACAAAATAGACGTCAGAATTGCTGAAAGGATTGCATCAGAGATGGCTCGTCAGAAAATATGTGCGAAGTATTACTCCGGAGAGGAAACGTCTAATGGACGAGAAAGTTGTCGCCGAAGAGCTGTTCCGTAACAAGAAAGCCAGTTATCCCTCAAGTATTGCCCACATGTTTAAAGAAAATCGATTAAGTAATTGACTTATAAGTTATAACTATAAATGAAAGTCATTTTTGTTGTTATTCTAATGATTTTTGACAACTTAGACAACGAGTTGGAAACACTTCGCAGAAATATCTTCGAAACTAAGTTTAAACGAAGCGATGAGAAGACCATTTACTGTCTGCAAGTGATTAAATACGATCGACACGGATATAAGCAAAGACCCAGAATATTATTGCTGACCAATAGTGCCATTTATTTGCTCAATGAGAAGGACATGAAACCCAAACATCGCTTACCCTATAAGAGCATCGTTGAAGTGACGGCCAGTGATCTAAGCGATGGACTTTTGGTTATCAAAATTCCTGCCGATTTAAAACAAGATAAAGTAAATCATTATTTTATACTTTGCTTAATTGACTTAAATTACATACTAATCGGTAATTTGTTTCCCAAACTAATTAAAGGGTGATTTAATTCTTGATTGTCGGACACATTTGATCGAAGCGGTGACCAAAATCATGATAATGACTAAAGATCACGAGAAGCTCAATATTGTGAGCACTGGAAGGTATGGTTCAAGTGATTTGATTTCATTTATATCGATATTAAATTTAATTTTTGTTACTTTCAAAAGTATAAGTCATGCGACTATTGATGGAAAAGTGAACCAAATCTCGTTCACAAAGGGACACATGAATGGTATCATTAAACGAAAGGACGGCATATTAGAAGTGGTCTGTATTTTGTCGTCTATTAACTCGTTTAACATTACTTTTTAATTAAATATATTCTTCTATTCTAGACATCGGTTTCGTCATAACAAGAGCTGAAAAATACTGAAGAAATCTAGTCTACAGAAGAGGAAGACAAATAATGGCCACATATTTTTGTGCCAAAAAATATAATAGAAATAAACCACTA